TGTTACAAACAGTCCTAAATCTCACTTTGCTGCACACATGCTGTAAGTCTGAAACCCAGAGGTGAGGAGCCTCCCTCCCTGGCTCCAGATCTGGGCTCTTCAGCTCTGTCCCAGCTGTTGTGGGCACATAAAGCCTCTCTCTCTCCCCTCCCCTCTCCTTCCAAGCACTCCTAGCCCTCTCCCCCTTCCCCAACAACTCCAACAGCTCCCCTCCTGCCTTCCCTCCTGCCCCCTGCACAGCTCCCCTTGTAGCTGCTCCAGATCTTCCAACTCCCAGTTTTCCTCCTGAGCTGCCTGTTGCCACCTGCCAAAGACACAAGGAGCAATGGAGACACCAGCATTTCATAGAATCAGAGAATGGTTTGAGTTGGAAGGGATCTTTAAAGGTCATCTAGTCCAACCCCCTGCAATAAGCAGGGACATCTTCAGCTAGACCAGTTTGCTCAAAGCCCCGTCCAACCTGACCTTGAACACTTCCAGGGATGGGGCATCTACCACTTCTCTGGGCAACCTGTTCCAGTGTTTCACCACCCTCACCATAAAAAATTTTTTCCTTATATCTAGTCTGAGAAGAGGAGCAGGGCAGTTCTGTGTCCACGGGAGATTGGTGGAGCAAGGATGCCAGCAGCGGGATGTAGCACAGCTCTCTACTGCAGGAGAGCCTGGGACAACGAGGGCAGCTGAGGTGATGATGTCCCATGGTCCTGCTGTGCTCAAGGTAGCACAGGACTGTCTCAGAGGAAAGCTTGCAGTGCGAACCATGGGTACCCCGTGGTTTGGGTGCTCATCACTGCCTGCCACGTGGGTGCCAACTGTTGATATTCCCAAGGGCAGCAGCGCAGGGCGGTGTGAGGGTGGCGACGGCCCACGAAGGCCTGAAGGTCGTGGGACTGATCAGAAAGACCTCCCTCACTCCATGGCACGGCACCGAGGAGCACAGCTAAGACACATTTGCTAACACTCTTGCCAGAGGTGTTGGCAAGAGCCGTTTGGCACTCGGGAAGGAAAAAGGTCTTCGTGTCTCGTCTTAACACCCTTCGGGTCCTATCTGTAGTTTGGATTTTTCCTCCTCTCCAATGACAAGCACAGTAGCTGTTGTGAAACATGATGAGTCATAGCTGCAGGCTGCAAGGGGAAGGCAAGGTAAAGGGAGAGCAGGAACGGAGCGAGACGGGAGGGAAAGCTGCTGTCACTGACCAGCCTCCAAGTCGTCGCTACGCAGCTACCACTGGCTTCTCTGCAGTACCACATCCATATATCTTCAGCTTTCCCTGGCTGAGTCCGTGGGATGAGGGGGAACTTGAGAACAGCCACCCTATGTTATACGCTGCTGCCTGAGAGCACCATGAGAGTCACTGTGCTCTGAACCAGAAGACGCAGTAGAAACTGCTCCCGGTAACGGTGGCAAGTTGGGAAGAGTTTGTCAGGCAGCTAATCTAGGAGGAAAGCAACACTTCGAGAAGGCCAAGAGGAACATGTCTGGATCAAGATACACTGAAACTGCCTTTACTGTTGCCTTTCATGAAAATTGGCAGCAATCTCCCATGCTGGCTGCTCAGCTTCGCCATATGTCCCATCTTCAGTGGCACCACAAATATGCTGGGAAAAATCTTCCTGTGCCAAATGTTTCAAACACAAATATAGAAGGATAGAAGTCTTTTAGGTCTCTGATTTGATCCACACCTAACATATTTTTCATGGAGTAATTTGAATATAAATATGATAGTGTCATAGACACAAGGCGTCTATTCCGGCAGTGTCAAGTGCTACAGTACTGACTGCCTGCAGAAACACACCTGCTCAGGTCCACAATGCTGATGTAGAGCAGGACCAGGTATTTCTTAGGTTGCTATTCAGTTGCGCGTAGGGAACAGTTTTCCCACCTTAGAAAACACATTCAGAGCCCTTAATGAAGAAACCAAGACAGAGGGACCCACATCCCAGCACAGGCAGTACAAGGACAACTTGCTGGTGATACAGAACAGTTCAACTCAAGTGACCACTCCACTTTATTCAGGTGAAAAACTTGAACCTCAGCCTGTCACGTATCAGTCTCGAAACTAATTTCAGTTAAACTGATCTTCTCTCTCGCAGAAAGATAATTCTGTGCTGGATTGTGCCTTGCTTCTGGTTCAAACTGCAACATTTATTCCCATCAGAGAACCTCATTTTCAATTAATTGCTTTTTTTTGACCAAAACCAAAAGCAAAACACTGTCACCTAAAAATGTCCAGCCAATTCTACACAAAAATCTGCTCTGAGGCCTGCTTATCTCAGTGTTTCTACGAGAGCTGACAGTTGCTGAAATATAGGCACTAGGATTGCTAGTGTTGACAAGGCTTTAAAGCATCATCACACTGAGTAGCCATTAGAGGTTATATTTCATTGGAAGTAATGTAATTCAATTACCATCACTCTTCAGTATGTCCCATCTCTGGAGGCTGACAATAAGCCATATCATCCATCAGATTTTAACCTGAACTTTGCATTCTGGCCCTATAGATTGCCAGATCTCCATTATGAATGGCTTCATATTTTTAGCGTCATTTCTTAGGGAAAAGAGGTTATCCAATTATATTGTACATCCATCTCCCTGCCTGTCTGTCCTTCCTTAGCTTTTCAACCAGTTTCAATCAGGAGGCAAAGGTCTTCAAGAAAATTAAGTTCCTATCAGTTTTGCAACTAATCAGAGGCACGGTAAAAAAGAGAAATCATTTGCACGTCCTACTTGGGAGTGGTGAGCTATGTAATCTCTGCAAACTGACAATCCGGTGAGCTTGGACAGCTAACGCTGTCTCTTTCTCCATGCAAGAAACACAAAAGGCTGGGGAACTTGTGTTACTGCAGGGACAGAAGGTCAGGGAGACGCATGTCTTGCGCTGAGAGACACAAACCCCTAGGAAAGCAGGCTCCTTTAGAACTGCTGCTCATGGAGCAACTATTTTATTAATGCAGCGAGCTTAGCAATTTACAAAGAATTTCTTGTGCATATTTCTTCAGCAAAGAATGTTTTGAGTAATTCACTCTGACAGTCAAACATATTGCAAACACAAAATACAAATTGCACAGAAAAGTGATGTAACATTTGCTTTCCCAAGTCTATGCATTTAAGCTCTATCAATAACCACATTTTCTTTTTCTGAATATCTGATCTGTAGAGTAACTGATTCACTATGTTTATCTGTTTAAACGATTACTCTTACTGATGATTACTAACATTACTGATTCATATTACTGTTGTTGTTCTGCCTTTTTGCTGCCTAACTGAACCATAAAAGTACTCATGACTTTGCCAGTTCTTTATCCCATTCATCAGCTGCACAAGGATTGTGACTTATGATGACTTACTCACCCCTCACGGGCAACTTGTTTACATCTGTCATTGCCCCCATTCCCTTTCTCTCTTCCTCTCTATCCTTCCAACCTTTTCCTCCTCTATATTGCCATTTATGCTAAATGCCTTTTCTTTGGCCTTTCCCACTCACTGCTTGTCACCATCTCTGCATCTCCCTCTCTCCCATGTCCACACATTCTCCATCCCAGACTTGCCCCTCATTCTACCACCTCTTTTTCTGCCTCCCACATACACTGTCATGATCCGTACCTTCCGCTTTCCTCCCCTGATCTGCTCTTTGCTCAGAAGACAGTCCCCTTCCCCTCTCTGCCTTCCCTCTCTCACACAAAATGTTGCTAGAAAGGTACCAGTGAACCTCGACACCCCTATAAAACCACTTTTTCTGGACCTTCCTGGTCTCGCTTCCTCACACTCCTCCACGGATCACGTTATACGAAAGCTGGAATTGCCTCTGACCCTTTCTGTTTTCACCTGCCCACTCCTCACCACCTTCTCGTGTTTCCTCCCGCTCTCACTGCTGTCCCACTCAGTTCCCTCCCCACCCTCCTCCCAGTTACCGTTACTCCCTTCTGACATGGGTATCTTCAGCTACATCCAAAGCCACTCTCTACCACTTTAACTCCTTTTGGAGTGTCTCTCTTGGCAACGTTTACACCATCAGTCGACCCTCGTCACCTTCTCCATGCTTCTAATGAAGCCCAGTGAATACACAACCTCCCTTCACTTTAAACAGTTGCTTACCCTTCAAACCCGCCATCCTCTTCCTCAAACACAACTGCTTCTCCAGTCCTTGTCAACTTTGGAGGTCGATACTTTACTGCTAGAAGAGGCTGCCTTCTACTATTTGGGGAGTTACCCACTCGATTTCAGATTCCCCCTGCCCACGATCTACCCAGGGCGCGAACCGCAGCGTACGTCAGATGTCTCAAGTATTCCCAGGTGAGGCTCACATCACACACACGCACACACACACACGCTCCTCTGCTGCAAGACAGCCCGTGTTGCCGAGAACAGTCACTCATCGGCTGCAGGTAGGCTGGTTTGCCAGCCTAACTCCCACGTCTGAAATACCAAGTTTTACTCCTCCCTCACACACGTTACTCACTCCTGCTGCCATCCCGCAGGGAGCGCCAGCTGAACTTTCAGGACAAGACCACCAAGCCTCTTGCCCTCATTCCTATACTTTTTATAACTTTTACCCAGACCTATTTCTCATCTTCTCATCCACACCTGACACCCGTTACCTCCCCCTCCACTTTCTTTTGTCCATTCCTAGAAAGCTCTCTGCCTACGCACAAAAGGCAGCGACTTTGTCTCTTTTCAGATCTCCACTGAAAGGACACATTTACAAATCTTCCAGTACATCCTTCAGTCTTCAGTGACCAGCTCTGGCCATCAGTCTCTATTGTTTGTATCTAAATTGTCGTCCATCTGCATTATTACTCATTCCTGATTTTGTCACCTTTTCCCTCACCCATATTTGTTATACCACCCACAGGGTCTTGTTTCAAATTAGGCTGCAAGATATTTAGAGCAGAAACAGTGCTTGTACAGCACCTAGTGCAATGGTGGCTTCTAGGAGTTACCAAGTATTTTTCCCACAGAAAGTAAGGATCATGACTGCCCAAGGCTAGCGGGAACTTACCGAGCCGTACAGTTCCCCTTTCTCATTCATTCCAAGGTAGAGTCCACTGTCGACTCCTCGGATGCTGACCAAGCCCACTGCTATACTGATAAATTCCAGTATACCTATAAAATGCAGGAAAAAACAAATAATGTACATATTGTTTCCATTGAAAGATATTTTTTTCCAGAAGTGACTGATCCCTGAGTGACAAGCAGCTATTTTCAAAGGCTTTTTCCCATTTTCAGAGTTGTTTGGAGGAAGATGAGGAACAAATGAATATATCTTAAAGTACGATACTTGGAACAGTGAAGTCCTTTGAGTCTTTGCTAGAGTGATGCATTGCAGGCACCATTAATGTACCAAATTAAAAGACTACTCTCAATCTTTCTCATCATCTCTAAACACAGATCCAAAGCTCAGTCGTATTCTGATTTGCACAACAAATAATACATTCAAAGAAAAAAAAACAAACAAACAAGTTTTTAGATTGCCAAAATTAGCAGTATTAACCTATGAAATTTGTCTTGCAAAATAAATTCTGAAAAAATACATTTGAATCAGATTTGTGAGATAAAAACAACTTACACATGGAACCAAAAGATCTACTTCCAGGCATCAATGAAGCAGGAATATGGGGAAAGATTTACTCACAGTATGATCTTCCAGAGGCTTGAGAAATGAAAATCCTTAGTATAGTCCAGAGTCTCACACATTTCTGTCTAGATAGTAACCATTCTCTCTGGTGTGTTATTTTTTACTCATCTCAAATTCAAAAATTAAAATATTCTAAACCTAAGCAATAGTGTATAAATGATTAGGTCTTCCCATGCACATAACAGCAAGCTCACACAGACATTTGTGCACTAGAGATAAGAACATTTTGCAGAGAGAAGCACTGCTTCCGCAAAGCTCCTAGGTTCAGCATCAATGTGCATGGTACAGCAAGTATGTGTATCAAATATCAGCTCATCTGGTTCTGAGGGTTTGGGGTTTTTTTGGCAGCCTTCCCTGCAAATTGCTTACCTCTTCAGTGAGGATGCTACCAGCCAAACCTTGCATAAACCTAGAAGTCTTGTGGAAAAAATGGAAATTGCTTCCTATTTGGAAGCACTCATGTAAGACTGTAATGATCTCACAGGAGTTATCCAGCAACATTCAGAAGCACAGTGCTGTGTTACGCTACTTTCTGAGCCACAAAATAAAGCACAGAGTAGCATTTTCAATATATTTTGTGAATTTTCACATCTAAGCACACCATGTAACTATTTTTAAAGCTTATTGGAAACTACATTTACATGAAATAATAAAACAGTACAGTACGTGTTGAGCCTCACGTGGACAATAAAAAAGCACTTTCATGCATTTTTGGAACAATTAATTTGGCATCTCCCACAAAATAGTTGTGCACTAATCAATAACAGGCATAAATCTAACATAGCACAAGTTGAAGCCAATAGGGAAAATTTATAGCCAAGCTAATGTAAAGATGAAATGTATTCCCTGTAAGGGACTATTGATCATTACCTTATATATTATTCAGTACTACAAACACCATAGTCTTATTGTTTTGATAATCCTGTTTTAAGGCCTGGGCATGTTAGATTATTCTCTACATATGCACAAATAAAAAATACTGGGAGGAAGTATTCAGTAATTATGGAATTTTTTTTTTAAGTAATAAAAAGTGGTAGCATGCTGTTTATCTGGTATACATAGTATCTCAGATACAACCGATCCATTGAAATCATTTAAACATTCCCATTATATCTGGACATGCAATACTTGCAGATTTCTTACTAAGGCTTTTTCTGTAAAGCTTTTACCAAACTATCATATTACCTGATACATATTACCAAGCAATTTTAACTGAGGTTAAATCTTATGTTAACTGTGTATTATACCATACTACAGCTAAGTTAGTAAATCTGGCATCTTTCACATCAGTATAAATGTAGACTTTAACTGCTGTCCTCATTTCAAATATTTGGGTGCATGCTGCTTAGTGTGTCAAAAGAACAAAATAGCACTGTCACGTCCTATTGCAAGTGCAGAAGATGAATTTAAGGTACTTGGCAAAGAGCATCCACATGTTTGAGATCAGAATAGAGACTGATTTTGAAATATTTAAAAGCCTATTCACAGCAAGTTTTATGTGCCATGCTGTTAAGTCCTTCAAGAGATTATCTGGGGCCAAGCATGCAGTCTTATACAAGTCTTGCCACTTTAAGGATTGCATGATTTGGCCCAATGCTCCTGTGAGTATTTTCACTGTATAGTTTCTACAACATACAGGTAGTACTTAGGACCTGAACCAGATATTAAAATAGATATTCCTTTTCAAAATGAGACTGGGCCAGATGAAAATCAGCACAGCTCCAAACTTTAAAAGCTAGGGCCCTATTCATAGATAAAAATGGGGAAGAGAAGAAAAGGAGAGAGGAAATAACTGTCTCAGTGCGTAGGACGCTGAATATCTTCTTGTCAGACACCAAACATTTTCTTTAATGAAACCACTTCAAGGCAGAGACCCGCTCCTCCGCAGAGACGTGAGGAAGAAAGTTTTGGGGAAAGTTACGCCTTGCACGTCCACATCAGCCCTTCACGCACCTTCTTCCACGCCATCCAACTGACCACGCTGACCGGCGGCAGGACGCCAGCCTGACCGCCAAGGCCGGTCCTGCTCTCCTGCCAGGCTCGCAGGAGAGAGGAGATGGGTCACCCGCACAACGGGGAACGTTAACTTTCGTCTAGTTTAGCGAACAGAGCGGTGAAGAACAGACCGACAGAAGCCTTTGCCTTGGCTTTAAGCAGCGGACATCCCTGCAGCTACACCTCTTTCTGTTGCTGCCGTTCCGCCCCTCGCACGTTTTTGTCTTTGGCTATACGTAGCCTCTCTTTGCACCGCTGGATTGAAGCGGTTTCGCTTCCACTCGGCACCCCAACGCACCATCAAGGGATTCGGTGAAGAAGCGCCTCCGCC